GAAAAGTTTAATTTTCATATAATATATCTTTTTACTTATCTACTATATCTGATTAGATATGGAAAGACTTGAAGAGATATTTTTAATGAAGATTACAAATTTACCTATAACCGGTAAATACTGGCGCCTCCGCCAAAACATAGCATAAATGTTTTTTAAATTTGATAAAGTTACTAAAAGTAAAAACACAGTTAAAGTAGTTGCTTGACGAAAAATAACGTAATATTACTTTAATATGTTTTATTAACGAGAAAAGTTTTCAGAAAAATCTTACAGAAATTTGGTTTTTGTTTTATTGCAAAGGTATTAAGTTAATTCAAATTCAACATTTTTTTTTTGTAAAAAATCTTAACAAATAAAGTCAAACAATGATCATGCAAAATATGTTTCATACGAAAAAAGGCTATCTTGATCCTAAGTGAAATATAGAAACAAAAAGGTCTCTTTTAATTTTTATTTTGGATAATTAGTTGTTTCCCACATATCAACAATCTTGTTTATAGGGTTAGATTATTTAGAAAAAAAATGTGGATATGTTTGAATCAACTGAATACGTTCATAGTATAGTAAAATGAAATTTCTTAATAACAGGTTTATTAATTGTAAAAATATATATCAATAATTATTGTCTAAGCAGACCAAAATTAAAAATAGTGGTTTAATAATTGTAACACAGAAGTTGCGATGTCACAAAAAAATTATTTGACTACGTACAAACATACTGGTATGACATTATGAAAAAAGTATTTTTTTATACATGTATTTTTCTTTATATTATTATAATTACTATTTTGCTATGTAACATGATGGTTTACATTTCTATTAGCACTACTATTTTCTTAAATTATGAATTTGATCTCATGAATAGATGACGAAAATGTTGATCTCCCACAAAATTATTAACAAATTTTGACACATTTCTTATTTGTTATGTTTTTTAATGCTTGCTCTAAACTTTACCATTACATTTGAAGCTTTTCGATCCATAAAATAAAATAAATTTAATTTTTACCTAAACTATACACTGTAAAAACATTTCACTCAAATTTCACTCAGTTTTACTCAATAATATATCAATTTCTGTCCACACTTGATCGAGTGAAATGTTCACTCTATTAGTATGAGTGAAACAATTGCGTCAGAAGTGAGTGATTTTTACTCAAATCCGAGATACTGCTAACTATCAATTATGCGACTTTTGACTCTATTCCGAGTATATAAAACCAATTTAGAGTTGACTTTTTCTCTAATATGATTTAAATTTAACTATTATTCAGTAATTTTTTACTCAGACTTAGTTTTTAATTAACTAAATAATGAGTGCTAAAATAAATCACTCATAAATGTTTAATTAGGATATACAGTGTTGAAATTAATTCACTTCGCGGGGCCTCCTCCTGTCCTGGCTGAGACCCGCCAGGTGAGACCTGCCGCCGCCGGCTAAAACCTGTTCTCCAGGTGATCACGGTATTCTGGAGCATCTAAGGGGCTCCTATCAACTGTGGTAGAGATTACAGAAGCAATATGTAAGTGGTACCATCTTCACGGCGCCATTAATGAGGACATTTACTCTGATTTAGGTACAAATGCACCAAATACGAGTTTACGTGAAGAATTTATTTAATGAGTACCTATATTTGAGTGAAAGTACTCAGTTTTAGTTTAAATATAATCACAAATGAGAAAAATGATCAAAATGCCCAATATTGAGTGAAAATGTACTCAATGGATCCACTCCGAACTTTTAACTGCTTTCACTCACACCAATTTTTTTACAGTATATCGTTCTTTGCTTCCAATAAATTATTTTGTCTTTCCCAACAAATTTGTAGGTCACCGATCGACCAAAAAAGAAAACACATGTCCAGATTTCGGCTCCCCTATTTCTTGCGGTAAATTAAGGACATTTAGCGGCCGAGCCCACTGCGAGGAGCGAGAATTCCTCTGGCAAAAAGTGGCCGGCCGGCGGTGGCTTCCTTTGGCGGGGAGGCTTGAATAAAATACACATTGAATTCAAATGCAATCGCGTGACTGCCTCACAGGAGGTGCGTTTTATGGCACCCTGGCGGCGAAATCAAAAGCGACGATTTAAAATATAGTGAGTCGCGATCCGGATTTGTATGTTTAATGCATGCGGGGCAGCGTAGTGCCGACTTCTCCCAAGGGGTGGAGGACAATCGACCGACTGGAGACTGGAGTCTGCTACCTTGCGCGGAAACGTGAGAAAATCCTCCAGAAATCAACAACAACGATAAAAAATTATAGCACGCATTTATTTGAGTGCAAACTTTCCTTAACGACAGTATTTTGCTGTCTCAATTTATTAGAGTTGCCATTTTGTCTCGCAGCGCCACCGCCAGATGCCGCTGCTTATATCTCGTCGACAGTAGTACACTGTGGTGTAGAGATCTGAAGACAATATCGTTTAATTTCATCATTCTCTAATGTGAGGAGAACCAGCATTTTTACTGAGCTCCTCGTATATTGCCTATGGTGCTGGCAATACTTGACTCCTGCTCGCCGGTAAAGGAACAGACGGGATATTCGGACGTATCATTCGTCACCCCAATCAGAAAGGATGCTTGGGGGTGTGAACGTTTCAGTGGCTGATTATCCTGCATCGGAGGCAAGGTAGATTCCTTTATTTATCCTTCCTTCCTTTATCATGCCTTTTTCCACTCATGGCTTCAATTGGAAAGTTTAGCGAAAATTTGAAATAAGTTTGAGACTTTGGAATTCGAAAAAACTGCAAACAACAATCAACACACGACCATTACAGTTGGTTTTCTCTTTTCATTTGATGCTATTGTGCTGCAAGACGCTTCTGAGCACGCGAAGCGTTCGGAACGGTTCGCTGGTCAGTTGCTCGCGTATCGGCAACGTCACAACGCCTCCGGGCGGGTATGTTTAATGCATATCGGTAAATGATACTTTGTAACGTGCAGCAGTAACTAGTTTTATAGGGTGTATAATATACGGCGTATTGTGTTACGTATGTCCGGGCTGTGATGCATGGCAGTAGTTACCGCGGCCAATTGGTTGCTTGCTGTATTGGTATTGGTATTGGTATCGATCGCCACATGTAATATTTATTAGGGCGAGGGGAGCTTTATCATGTGCCTCCGCAACTTTAACACCATCGCAAGCAGTTGTCGAAAGTCGAGAGGTGCAGGTATATACGAGCAGAAAATATTAAATAATGAGTTCGACTCATAGTCCAGAGAACCAAGGGTTTCCCCTTCGAATTCTTTCGGATAGAACCGATTGACGTGAAATTTGGACTGGAAGTAGAAAATAGCTCAAGAAACAAATGTTATATGCATAGTGCTGATGAGCGCTTTTGCCCAGGGGGTGGAAGCTACCCCCTCCAGGAGGTGAAAAATAAAATATTGAAAACAACCCCAGGAATCGATAAAGCAATCAATTTTAAGCAAAAAGTATCCTATGAACATTTATCGATAAGTCAATATTTTCTGAGTTATTAGTGATTTCTCGAATAACTCGGAAAATAGACATTCTATAAAAAAAAAACATCACGAAAAAAATGAGGCTTATAGAAAAATAATGAGTTTTTCTTCATTTATATAATAATAATTTCATGTCCGACAGAAACTCAAAAAAAAATATATTTTTCAAGCAAAATGCACAGAACATTTTTTAAAGTACTTTAAAAAATCTTTAAAATGAACTTTCAGTCATTGACTTAAAAATTAACAGGGTTATGATCAAAATAAAACTGTTAATTCGCTTTTTAGGAAAAAAAATCAGTACAAAAACTGATGGTTTTTTCACGAGATTTAAAATTAAAGGTGATCCTTCTACAATTTACATTTTTTATGTATTAACAATATATTATACAAGTTTAAGCGGTTTAGAACGCATATTTTTGAAAATATTACGTTTTGATTGAAAAAAAATTGGTTTTAATTCCAAAAAATCTTTTGAAAAAAAAATAACTTTAAAAATAAAAATGATACGAAAAATATTCAAGAGTACAAAAGTTTAAATTTTTTTCAGAGAATATTTTGGTTTTTTTTATTTGTGTTTTACCCTATTCTTCTCTTATTGTTAGTTCCCTGGACTATCAGAAACGAAAAAGAATTGCATCGTTCTTAACAAATCAGACGTAACGAAAGAAAATATTATTCCAAACATTTAGTCCAACTTTCCCAACAAAGCTGTTTCCAATTTTTTTTATTTCTTTAATATTTTTTTATTAATTTGATCTCATCACCACCACAACAGTTTTAGGTCACACCCATACCTCTTACGCCACATGTTCGACCAATCAGCAAGGCATTCAAATTAGCGGGAATTCGAAAGGGCTGTTGTACCTGTACTACCTGTAGTACCTGTAAAAAGCTCTAGTTGGAGCTGTAGTATCTAGAGATATAAAGGCTATAAGGTCGATAAGAGCTGCAAGAGCTCTAACCACTCTAACGGCATCTAGAAAACAAATGGAGTCTAACAAAGAACCTATTCCAAATTTAAAAGATAATTACAAATAATCAGAACTATGACTAATGTCATCGTCTATGTTAATAGTAACTATCTCTGTAATATTCGCAATATGAATGTACTTTACTGAGATTAAGATCTAGCATAGTCTTTCCGATATCAATTGAAGAACCAAGAGATTGGCAGTATGTGCCAGGTTCGGTCGCTGACGCAGCAACTTGGCTTTGAAGTATTTGAAAAACTTTTTCCCATATTTATTTAGGCAGCCATACCCATACAGGTCTGGTCGCCCAGTTGATGAATGAGCGTGCGGGTAAACGCGGCACAAACGCAGCCGCATTGGGCGACCTGGCGATAAATTCAGTTGTCAACGAATTGCCTAGCAGTGCAGTGCAGCAATGCGGAATTTGGTGCGATTCAGGTAATTTCAATTTATTATAGGCACCTCAATGATTTGAGTACAAACATTTCTGTATTTCTCACCGCAGACAAGTTCATTTTAACACTGGAAGTAACCGGAGAAGAGTAACATGCGTTTGGTTCTAGGGATGTTTAATTACGGCCTTTATATGCGGCGACGCAGCCCCATAAACGCCGACGGCGCGACGAACGGGCCTCAAGTCGTGCCTCTTCCACATGAGCGGCCCAACAATCGGCTAATAATATATTCATGGATCATTTAAATGCAACTATGTCACGCGGAGACGTTTGTTTAAGCGAGGCGCATATAATAAAACCTCGGGGTTTTACAAGTATTAACACAATATAACTTCTGAATGACAAAACACTTGCCTCTATTGTTTCGTGCGGACGGGTGTGTCGGCTAACCCTCGAGGGCGTGTGTTTAAATAATTTATCTCCCATGGTAAATGGTGTGCCCGCGATTCTCTATGTAACGGCGTCGAGTACCGCCGAAAAAAATGCGCTGGGACAGCGTCACATGTACAACGAGGCCGTAGCTGCGGCATATGTAAACCAGCAAATGCAGATGAGCGGAAATCGCAAGACGTCCATAGCAGAATATTATAAGTTCGAATTTTCTTTCTGCTTTTTGGGTTCTTGGTGTATATATTAATATTTCAAGACAATGTATTAATAAATTATGTAACTCTTGACTCTTGAGTATGTGTAAAATTCGACACAAATTAATTCACTGTATTTGTTATAAGTCACAAATAATTTCAGTTTCAAAGTAAAATTCGGCACTTCTGCTATAACTCTCATAAAATTGCGATTGTAGTCACATTAACAGTCACTGAATATTTTGCAATGTGTCCATCAGCTTTGTTTTAGTTCGTTTCTGATAAAAAACTGAAGCATTTTTAAAAATAAATGTCCACAATATGTTCGAACTACTTTATTTAAAGCAACGTGCACGCTATTACTAAATCTAAGAAAAAAATTGCCGAACGTCTGGTGTCTTCCTTAATTGTGTCTGTAAAACAGCGATATATACGAGTAAGTAACCTTTATGATCTGAAACAAGCAGATATTTCAATGGGAAATCAATCCACGCTTTCCACTAACTTACAGTGACAAAAACTTCAAGGGACATGGCTTTGAAGATCCCAATAAACAGTATAAGGGGGCGCTGCCCACGCATTATCATAAATAATATCATTTTCTTTACCTTCTGGGTTTCATCCAACCACTCCATACTGTAGAGCTCATCTGACACAGCTAGACTCTAAAATAATAGTTATATACCCCGACAATGCTGGTTTGATTGATGAAAGGCGTATACGATACGGAATATTACCTGAAGAGTGACTTCGTTTGCTGTCCAATAAGTAATAAATAGACGTATTAGCATGACCAATATAAATTGGAGGTTGATTAAAATAAGTACTAAGTTCCTTTGAGTCTGTAAAAGAATGGAATGAGTCTTTTCTTACTCTATCTAAAACTAGAGTACTTTTGAGTCGACTGTAGGACATAATCTTAAATTTGCAGAAGTAGATTATTTGAACACCAACTATTCAAGTTGCCAACAGAAAATTTAACTCCTAAAGTCAACTTAAGATCGTCCGTCGACATCAAAACGTTCAGTTGGATCGTTAATAAAAATAACATACAACAGAGGCCCCAAAACTGACCCCTGGGGAGCTCCTGATGATTGACCACAGAGTTTTTGAGACTAAATAAAAAATCACGTACAGATTTCGAATTCCTTACCATGAACCTATACAGCACGCAAGTCAGTTGAAGAGAACATTGCAAAAAGTCCAACAGATAGGTATGTTTCATTTCGGCGTTGAATATATCCACATATCTGAAACCAACCTGGTGCAATGATGACAGAAATCCATCATTTCCACTTACTTTATGATATCCTGGTGCTTCACGATGCATTCACGCAACTGAGTCTCGCTCGCCGCTTCCTCCTTCAAATTCATACTCCTCTGCAACGAATCCTTGTACTTCCTAAAGTTCCTCAGGATGTGATTCAGCATGTGGATTTGTCCCAAGGGATAAGTCATCAGACCGAAGGCTAGAGCTTCCGTGGATATGAAGAACATAGTGCATAAGTAGTTGCAATTGAACAGCAACAATAGATAAGCGCTGACGTAATGCTTTTGCACGTCGAAGGGCATCCAAGCGGATATAGGAAGGTATTTGACTTCCATGGTGGTGTTGTTGATCTCCACTGTTTGTTTTTCCATGAACAAAGGCCAGATGGCGTATCCGACGTTTGTTAGCAACGTATTCCCAGCGAAGATCTTACAAAATAAGTTGTTCCTTTTGACATTTTCATTGTAAATTTTTTTCAGGTTTTCATCCATACTCTCCCATAATTTTTTCTCGGATTTGCCTACATCTTTGATGACGTTCCTTATCGCTTTGCCCTTGATCGATTTGCAACGCAATGCTGAGTTAAAATAAATGAATAATATGCATAAATTATTGACGACCTCTGTATAGTTCACTTGGTCCTCCATTAACAGCACGACCAATTGTACCAGTTGAGTAAAACAGAAAAGATTAAAATAAATGTAATGCAATTTCGACATTATTTCGTACAGCTTCCGAACTGTTTTGTTTTTTGTGGTGATCAAAGGCCACAAGCCGATACAAACAGAGAAATACATCGCCACTTTGAAGTGGAGAACTTGTGGTAGAAACTAAAAAAAAAATTGTTTCCTGTGTCATTTGACAAGAAGTATGTAAGGTCTTTACTTACCCCCATTTATCTTCCAGAAACACAAGCAGTAATACAAACTGCTAGCTCAAGAATAATTTGGAAAGGACAGAGAAAAAAATTACTTGCTGAATTATTAAACTATACAATTTGAATAAAATATAAATATTAAATGAGATTTGTAACAGTCGCGTATAAAATATGAATATTCAGATTTACAGTGATTAATAATTTAGTGGTAATTACGGTAAACGACTTCATTATATAAAAAATATATCTATAACTAAGATTGGTGTGTTGAAATATTTTTTATTGACTCCCTAATAAAGTTTTTACGTATTTCACCATTCGTTCTCGAGCTGCGATTTAATCCACAGAATAATAGTATCCCTACCCTTCCTCCACATACTAAGCTCTAAGCTAATCCTTGTAATTAAAATGGCAGGTGAAGATAGCATCATTCAGATACAAACAGAATCTTCGACTCAAGACAACCATAAGCCAATAACCTCTGTCTATAAAACATACATCATTAATCCGACAATTTACGCCGAAAAAGGCATTTTTTATTGACTAGTAACCATAAAGGAAGACAGAAACAATAAAAAGGAATTCACAAAAGGCAAAAAACGTACGCCTACGCCTGATGCAGTTAAAGTGCCATGAGCCGCCAGAAGGCTAGTCAACAATGGACTTGAGTACACATGTTAGAAATTTAATTTTATTTTTATATTACGTAGCTACCTCCTTGAATCACATACTACGTAAATCTGATACTAAAATATAGACCTGGCAACACCGCATTTTCGGGTAACGTGATTTTCCAGTACTGATTTTTAAAATACATTTTTTTTGTTATTTAGAGAAACAAATAAAGAATCAAAATATAAAAGGACATAGTACAAAAAAAAATAAAGGAAAGCTTTGACTAAAATTCTAATATCTTAAATTTTAAAATGATTTTAAAAAGTTTTAGCTTGTTTTAGATATCATTTAAATTTTTTCCTGAGTACGGCTCTGAACGCTTTCAAAATATCTATTGGATGAAGTCATAACAGTATAAAAGTCAATACCGCACAAAATATCCAACATTTTTTTTACTACTTTAAGCAATACTAATTAGAAACAATAAAACATTTCATAAATTCGTATTATTTTTTTATTAGGTACAACTTTTTAAATTATTGATTAAAAAGAATGTTGAATATTTTGATCTGTATTGACATTTATACTGTTATGACTTCCTCCAATAGATATTTTAAAAGCGTTCAGAGCCGTACTCAAGAAACATTTTAAATTATAGCTGAAAACCATTGCGATTACAATAGTAATATCATCTAATTCAGAATTAAAAATGACTTTAGGTTTTGTCATAAAAATAGCAGCGACGTATTTAAAATAATTAACCCGATGATGGCCCCTCGAAGACGAAACGTCGGATTGCAAAAATGTTGACGCTATTGGATAGAGCGAAAAAGTGGCACTGTAAATATGCAATTTACTTTAAAATTCGTTTTCAAATAAAAAAGCCAGAAAAAATTAAAACGATTTTGCAAAATTTTGGGTTTTTGGGTTTCGCGTCAACAATAGACTTTGCAGTTAAAACTTTGTATTGCTGAAATCTCAAATCGTCCAGAGATAAATTTATCATTTGAGCATTTGTAATTCCACTTAGATGTTTACAGCAATACTGTACAAAAATAAAGTTTTGGGTCAAACAATGACACACAGTTTTTTTTGTATTTTTTCCGTAGAATTGAATGGTGTAATCATTTTGTGAACTTTTTTTAATTCAAACAAATCATCAACAATTACTGAAAAATTCATTGTTGCAAGTCATTTTTTATTTTTTTGCATTTTTGAGCATGTTTTTGAATTGTGACCACAGAATTTTTTTATTTCACCAAAAAGTATATGTACATGATTTTTCTAAGTAGAATTTTTCTTGAAAAAAGTATGTCAGACAGGAAAAAATTAATATCTCGGAAACTACTTCATTTTTATATTTTTTAGGTTTAGTGTCAAATTCGATAAACTTTTGAAAATTTCACACTAGATATGTCAACTTTAGAATTACTGGAGTTACTGTGGAGGGAACAAGGCAAGACCGCTGAACCCGTGACGTCACAAGAGTAGTGCTTTCTGAACGTCTTCTGTAACTTTTCCAATGTAACAGAATTAACTAAAATTTAATTACAAGAGGTACCATACCACCCGGTGCACTGCCATAGCACCTCCGTTAACTGGTTAATATTTCGTGGAGCCAACGCGGTGATGGTACGCCACTATTTTCACACTCGCACATAATACGCCTATTTATTACTTCGGCGCTTGCACCCAGCGGATAAATAGGCGCGCTTTTTCACCACGAGGACGAGCAATTAAGAATGGCTCTCGGGCCGGCCGCAAATTACCGCTAATTGGAGAATTTAATTGTTTCGCGGCGATAAACGTCGATGATCCATAAAGATGGGAAGGGCCGGCTGAAATATCGGCGAGGCTGTAAAAGCAGGGGGCGTTGCGAGAGGTTTATGACAGTTCCTCGGTAGCCTGCCTTCGGAACACCGTCCCTTCTGTCACCGGTGGGATGAGATCTGCGCGTTTTATGGAAAACACGAATAAGAATGGCCGCCGAACAACAAATAAAGCGTTTTTGCAGTGTAACAGTATAATGATGAGGCCACCGAGAGCGTACGAGTTCGGTTTAAATAAAGTTGAAGACCCACGTTGGGCGCCATGTTCTTATAAGATTCAGTTTTATTTTAAGGTTTAGTTGGTAATTTTGGTGTATAGTTCGACATCTTGCTTGGATCGGTGGTCAGAAATATCGAAAGCTAGTTACAGTGTAGAAAAAAAATAGTTTATTTTATTTTTCCGTTTTATGATTAGTTTCTCAATATCAACCTATATTGCTCCTGTCAATAAGAAACCTGTCCTTCGAAAAGCTAGAAACAATCTCCGCCCAAACGTTTCGAATAAATTAAATTCAAATTATGCCGCTTATCAGCGATTTCCATTACCTTCGGCAGGTATTATTGATACAATTGTCCGGAGCTATCGGGAGATCCGGACGGTGTGCCTCGTTATAAGACTGCTAACGCACAATCGGATCCCCTCGAGGTGAGGCCTGTCAAACAGTCACCCCTCACGTATTAATTGTGATAAACAAATGTCGTCCTGTCAGCGGTTTGTCAAGGACGACGGGGCTGCCCGCCGTGCGTTATTCAAATGCGGTAGACGGTTGTAAACCGGGGTACAAATAATTTTTCATGGCGTAATTGTTTATTATTTATTATATATTGAAAGGAGGCGATCGAATGATAAAAATAACGATTCCTAGGACCGTTACGCAAGGTTTATTGAGAGGTAGTTACAGTATTCAAATTTGTAGTGGCAGGGACGACGGCGGTCATACATCATTCCCGAAATTCGATTTGAATTGGCTCGCTGATAAGAGAGGTTCTTGGAAAAATCAACGGATTGGTGCGAGCGGGGCATCGTTATTTATGACGCAAGCGCCTAAAGTGACGCTTTTTATGTATTTATGATTTATTTATAAAAAAGTGTTTTTTTCAAACTTCAAAACGCCGTGTAAAGTTTTTATTTAAATATTGGTCTAATAATTTTATAGTTTTCTGCCTTTACCGACTAGCGAACATGAACAATCCACTTGATGTTTAACACGTACCTTTTGCATTTGAAATTTATTATTACTGCGCTTTCGATCAAACCTGGAAATTTTCTCAGGGAAACCAGAACCCAGCCGGAGCGCCATAAACATCAAACAACCACGGGATCGAACAGCGGAATGGTATCTTGTTTTCTCTAAGTGTAGCATATCCTTAAAAATACGCCAGACTTTATGGCCGGTGTCGATTAGCGATTGACGTCTAAATAGACAAGACCGAACGAATTCATTACCCTGGCAGTACAAGACCGAGGACAAGACGCATCTGAAATCGATCCCGGCGATAAACGCTTTTTCTGTATGTAAGCAGGTGCCTCATTTTCACCTATGCTGCAATTCTTTCTTAACCCAACTTCCATATACTATCAATAAATCTATAAAGTCCCCTCAATTTTTACATTATTTGGAATGTAAAAGGTTTATCCCTTTTTTACAGAATAGTAATATACTTAATAACGAGCGTTCAAATAAAAACGTGGTCAAGTTGGTTCTGAAAATTTGCGTAGCGTATAGCAAATGAACTTAAACGTCATCTGTCAAAGCGCTATATCGCCGCTATCAATTTGAATATTTTCGTTTTAAAAAGCGTTTAAAATGGTGTTTTCTCAAGAACAAAAAGTGTTTATCATAGAGTCCTACTTTAGAAATGGACGCAAGATTGATGGAATATGGAAGTATTCTATTGAGGAATGTTTCATAGAATTTCAAAATCAATTTCCCGGCGTTGTTGAGTACAAAATTTTTCAAAGTGCAGTTCAGCGTTGTGTTAATGTTTTTCGTGAAACGGGCAGTGTAACAAGAAAAGAAGGAAGCGGCCGACCTAAAAAGCGGACTGAAGAATTAAAAGAAAATGTCCAACAAATAATGGAAAATGCGCCAAGAACTTCTGTACGTGTTTTATCACAAATGGTGGGAGTATCAGTCGGTACCTGCCACACAGTGTTAAAAAAAGATTTGCGTTTGTTCTCCTATCGTTTAACTTGTCAGCAAGAACTTCATGAAGTTGATTTTCCGCGACGGGCTGTATTTTGTGAATGGTTTTTAAACAACTACGGTGAACTTCATAATATCACCTTTTTTTCTGATGAAGCCTGGTTTCATTTAAGTGGTTACGTAAACTCACAGAATATGAGAATGTGGTCTTCTGAAAAACCAGATAACTTTTTTGTCGAGGGCCCTCTACACGCTCAAAAAATTGGAGTTTGGTGTGCTCTCAATCGAAGGAGGATTTATGGACCTATTTTTTTTAATGGTACTCTTACTGCGCAAAGGTATAGAGAAGAAATTATCGCTCCTTTTGTTAACCAGCTGGAAGAAAACGAAATTACAAACTTTTACTTTCAACAAGATGGCGCAAGGGCACATACGGCAGGCGAGACGATGAATATGTTGAGGGAAGTTTTCCAAAATCGACTAATAAGTCTCAATGCTGAACATGAATTTCCACCGAGGTCATGTGATATTACGCCGTGTGATTTCTTTTTGTGGCCTTACCTTAAAAACACTATTTTTGAACTGCCTATTCCTGATTTAAACCATCTGCAGGCTCGACTTATAGACAAGATTCGTGAAATTAACAATACCCCGAGCATCTTAGAAAATGTCTTTAATTCTTTGAGGAACAGGTGTGAAAAGTGCTTGGAACAAGGAGGGGGACACTTTCAGCAGCTGCTTTAATTTATTGTTATAACAAGGAGGGGGACACTTTCCGCAGCTCCTTTAATTGTTTGTTATTGTTATCACGATTATTCTTTAAAATAAAGTTATATAGTCATTAACGTTATTGAAACTGACAGCTGCTATACAGCTCGTTGAGAAATGAGGTTAAGTTGGTCGCTATAAGCTACTCCCTACGTCCAATGTGTCAGAGCCAACTTCGACCACGTCTTTATTTGAACGTTCGTTATTAAAATATTCAGTGGAGTTAAGATCTTGCGCAGATGTTATTTTAGGCGCGTGCAAACATGCGGATTTGCCGCTCGATAGGCATTGCGAACACGTACTATAATACATTTGTCCGCTCTCCAGCGACGGTGGTTTCGACTATATCTACTTATGATCCCGGATAACAGCCGAATCCCATAGAGCTCGCACCACTGACCGTCCGACGAGCAACCGGGAGATAAGGCTGGCCACGTACGGAAGTTAAGTGTGTTCTATCATTAGGCGGCTGGGCTTAATGCGCTCGCGAGAGATAAGAGCGAGGTGTGCAGCGCAGCCACCTGCTAACTCACCTGAGAAGATAAGCGGCAGCTAGATCCCCCGGTTATTAATAACGCCAATCGCCGTTTTCCGCCTTCCTTTTGTCCTCCTGCTACGTGGGAGCGAAGCGGAACTAGGAGGTGCCGTAGAAGGTAATTGCATTGTTTTATATTTTATTTTAGGTGAGGGAAAATCTACTACCAGGTTCTAGCGTTAAGAGACCTTCCGATATGCCGGACAAAAATTTGAGCTTTCGAAAAAGTTATGAGAAAGAAGTTGTTGCTTCTGATGAGTTTAGTGGTAACAATTTTGGCAGTTATCTCTAGAGCACCCTGTACCTCACTCACTCTAAACGCTAGTTTCATGTTAAAACTATTACATTCATATCGCGAATACTACAAGAGATATTACATGACAACATTTTTAAATTTTCCCAGAGTTATTTTAGAATTAGAACCGGTTGGATGCATTTCCAATGATATGTCTCACCTTTCAGGATGAGAAATTACTGGCAGGCAACAACAATTTACCAAAAATACGATTAATAAAAGAAATTTTATGAGAGAAGTCCGAAGAAAGTTATGAATTCTAGATGAATATCAGTTTTCAATATCTATAATACTTGTAATTTACGGTGGAACAGCAACTAATATATGACCTAGGAGTGTAAGGTAATAATATAAATTCAAATACTCGCCTTTTATGGAAAATTGTAATTAAAAATACCCAACAGTTTTCATCACCACAAGATATTTAAAAAATATAAAATGTGGTGGCGTTGCTTTCATTATTCACCTTGCGCCAGTCGTAAAAGTCACAGACGGCTAGGCGTAACTTCTCATGTTAGTTATCGACTCAGGTCGATTTTTATTAAAACTATAAAAAATTGTATTAGGTTATGAAACGTAACAGCGATCAACCTTTCACACTAAATTATTCCCAGTGGTGTGGCAGTCCTTCCGTATCCGCCACTCGTGCTGTTTTTTAATCCCGTTGTCCGGAAAGAAATCAAATGAGGACTTATATGATCGGGATATAAATAATGACAGACAAGATGATCGCCATTTGTTCCATATTTCATAGGGTACCATTCCACTCACCAGTCGACCGAGTGGTTGCTTTCAACAGTAGGTACAATAACTGTGTGTCTCCAAATATTTTCAGTACTATAATCAGTACTGCGTGTTTTTGTGTTTGTAAAAATGTTTTTAAAATGTTACAACATTGTAGAAACATTTTAAAAGTATTAATGAGCAGAAAATCTGTTTAGACCTGAAGAGTATCTCAATGGGACGCACCGTACCAAAGATCGGAGCGCTCTTGATGAAACTGCACAGATATGCACGTGAAAAAAGATCGCGCGCAACGCTCGGCTTCCAAAGCGACCTATTAGGAGCAATAAATATGTAGATGGAATCATATGGAACAGTGGGACTCCCGCATATAAACCCGAGTGAGAAATTAGAAATGTGATTTATGGCTTCTAAACGAAACGAGCCGGGGCTCGCGCAGAACAATTATCGTACGATTTAATTTATTTTTCGTATTAAGTGACCAGATTAATCTCGGCCTCAAACAGCGCGGGCGATCGATTATGCGCGAGCGGCAACGTCGACGAAACAAACACGAATGAAGACCCTTACGTGATTTTAATTATTCAACTGATAACGATAACCTGTAAACGTGTATCCTGCCGCCAAAACCGAGGCCGCGCCCGAAAATAAAAACGTCGGACTTTATTTTACCGACCCTTCGATTCGAATTTGCTTTACGACGACGGGCGGGAGTCGAAAAGTGGGCCCGTAATTGCAGTTTAAATTCACGCCAACCCGAAATTTGCATCGTCATAATTCATCGCCACTATCGGAAGATTATACGGGCATGCGTGAAGCACATTCATCACACCACGGTCTCCATCGGGCAGGGTTGCCAATTGCGGTTGTCGAATAAAGCCACTGGAAAATTTTCAGGCAAGAAAGAGTAACATATGTTTCAAACGCCAGAGGTTCCATGCATTTATTTTGTATGCTTTATGGGGAATATCACACCTTCCGGTATACCATGATTCGGTAGTTGGTGGAACACTGTATTTAATTTGGGCAGAAGTCAGCATCTTTAGATCATTCTTCTCAAATAGTTGATATACTCCAGGGATACGAGGAAAATAAATGACATGGTGGTGACTGTTGAGTAACCAAGTATCTGTAAAGTTTTTTATAAAATTTGGGTCAATTTTAGTACAATATGTGCAAAACCCACACACCATCAGGTGAGGTTTTTTAATAATTAACAATAAAAGGTCCAAAATAACCCAAAATATCACTTTTTTGCCTACCAGAAAATAAACGACAATTTTTATTATAATGTGAAAGTAACCAACTTGTAGGGAATAAAAAAACCTTTAAAATGGGGGTTTTTAAAATCCGATACGATAATTTGTTGCTCGGAAAATTGCAAAAAACTGTCAAAATTCGATTATAACTAAATAAACAATAAGTTTTTTAAAAGTCAACCTACGACTTTGATATTGCATAAATAGTTGGCTTTTATAGTCCTTAAATATGTGATTAAAATTTCAGACCGATTCCTCCAATATTTTTTGCAAAATTCTAAATGTTTATCCCAGAAGCATTATTTTTGTAATAACTTGACACGCAAAATTACCACGATATTTTAATTCTGCGGGTGTCATATGAAAGAGAAAGACTTCTTTTATTGGATGAAATTATTTTATTGCAAAAAAATTGCTTTTAGCATTGCAAAAACGTACCATAAAAACACTTGTCTTATGAACAATTAAACTAAATTTGTTGCTATTATATTTAGAGAGATTATTTTTCTATATTCATAAAGCTGGTATTTTTACACAAATTAAAAAAAAAGTTGCTCTAACTTAATTTGGGGCATTTAGACACTTTTTTTTTTAAATCATAGCTACTTTGTTTATAACAATTAAGATTTCTAATATGTGCCATTTCGAAGATAAAGAGCTAAAGTTTCTATGTGAAATTAGCATTGTAACAACATCTCTGAGAATGCTCCAAATAATGACTTCGATACAAGATGACTGTGAGTCAGTGGAGGGGGAACCTACAAGTTACCTACAAGCAAGTTAGGTATATCTCTGGAACTTGTTGACCGATTTTGATGTTTTTTTTTAATTTGGTATACCTTCTTGCGTGCATTTTGTTAATAAATAAAAATTTTAATTAATCCAGTTATTTGTTTAAACATAAACAAAATTTTTTTTTCAAAATATCAACACTTTTTATAATGGAATTATAGAAATGATTAAATATCATTTTTTAATAAATTAATATTGCAATTAACTAAGTATTTTGTTTAAACTTTTACCAAAAAAAAATCTAAATTATCAACATTGTTAAAAGACAAAAATGGCAGTGTTTTTGGTACATTTTTGCAAAAACTATTGGATGAATCGGTCTGAAATTTTAATCACATATTAAGGACTATAAGAGCCAATTATTTATGCAATATCAAAGTCGTAGGTTGACTTTTGCAAAACTTATTATTCATTTAGTAATAATCGAATTTTGACAGTTTTTTGCAATTTCCCTAGCAACAAATTATCGTATCGGATTTTAAAAACCGCCATTTTAAAGATTTTTTTATTCCCTACAAGTTGGTTACTTTCACATTATAATAAAAATTATCATGTTTTTCTGATAGGCAAAAAAGTGATAGACCTTTTATTGTTAATTATTAAAAAACTTCACCTGATGGTGTGTGGTTGCACATATTATACTAAAATTCACCCAAATTTTACGAAAAATTCTACAGATCCTTGGCTACTCAACAATCACGGCAGTTTCCTCAAATCCCTGGGCTAATAATAATAGTGTTACAAAATTTAACAGACCTGCTGAAGCTACAAAGGAACTTGATAACTTACTGTCTACAATTTGTGGGAGAAGCTGTCTCAGAGGCAAACTTATTTGCATCGGTCTGTAAGCTGTTTTAACACGCAGACTTCTCTAGATCTGGCTGCTGCAGCGCGACGCGGCAACACCGCCCCGGCCAAATTTTAAGCAGCGCAATTAATGGAAAAACCAATTTTCAACACTCAAATTGGCAAGTTGTTTTAAATTGTTGTTCACACACGGTCCGGCGGTGGCACAGCCCGGCAAAGTGGCAATTTCGCTGCCGCCTGTTTTTCTCCTCGTTTTATCGGACGTATACGTGCACGTACCTAATTATAAGGAAGCACGTTTTGATTAAGGTCTCGTAATAAGGGGAGGTAATTCGAAATTTTACGCGATAAACTATGTGTAATTTGTGAAGGTACACCGTCATTACGGCCGAAACGGTATAAGGTACCGTAACGATGGGAATATAGTTTCCATGTGTGATAAAATCTCACAATCATTAAAAATTCATATTTTTTTAGTTAAAGCACGATATTAATAGGTACTAGTTAAACACACAATCATATTTGGTTGCTATTGTTGTGAAAGCGCTTGCTATTGTTGTGAAAGCGCCACGGTAACCCTCAACACTCAGGTCTTGGGACCTATTGTGCATGTCGCTAACAACAGTTTGAAACAGATCCCTGCTCTACGTAAGAAGACAAACACTAGATCTCTGATATCCTGAAGTGCCAAAAGTAGAGCCCTCAGGTATTTGTACTTTAACTGCTCAGACTATCTTCTACATCTTGCCGTCCTTATTCCCTTGCATTAATTCCTTATCAGTTAGGATATTTTAGTAGCCAATTCCAACGAGTTCGAGTGACCTGAGAAAGGCTGTTACCTAGAACCGTTCAATTTATTCACTCTCAATTTTGAATTTCTCTTATCGGACTCTGCCGCGCAGACAAACACGGTGGTGTACGGCGCGCCTCAGTGGGAGTGTAAGGCGGACCTTAGTGGTGTGTACGGCGGGCCCTACTATCGCACGTCCAGATCTGCGAGGTGTTTCACCCTCGAGTAATTGGCTACTATAATTACGGCACCGAATCGACGCGGTATTTTTCTCTTATTTCGCCTTTACCGTTAAGCGTATTACCGAAGCATTTCGCCCATTCACACCGCCCGGCCGGTGGTAAAATAAAGCCGGCAAAAATAATTCATTATTCGACTATTAATAACTGCCATATACGATCCGTTGCCGGTTATTATTCGGAATTTCGCGGATCATTTTTCCTTTAACGATATCAATCACGGGTGATTACCGAACTCGTTCGCTGAAAAGTAATTAAAGCCGTCCGTCGCGGTCCTAGCGGGTCTCGATGTTGGTTTAGTCGCCCCAACAATACCGACGGGTTGCGATAATGAGGCGATTTCTTTCCGAGGTGCCATTCATCGGGGTCCCGTGGTCGGCGCGCTAATGGCTAACGAAGTTCGACGAGCGCGAGGTGCTTGAAAAAAGGTTTAGGTGGTTACACCGATAGTTAGTGCAATGGCTCAAAAACAGGAACAAGGCTCATGCGGGAGGGAGTGGCGTATTATTATTATCAGCCCAACTACTAACGACTTACCTAAACAAACTACAATAAAAAAAAATTACTCAAATTTCACTCAATAATGTCTGTCTACACCCGATTAAGTGAAATTTTCACTCTATTAGTATGAGTACAACTGAGTGAAACTGTTGCATTAACTGCTAACTATGAATTGAGTGACTTTTGACTCTATTCTGAGTATATGTATGAAACCAATATAGAGTTGACTTTTTCTCTAATTAGTCCAGTCAGTGAAGGCGAAAATAAAGTAAAAGCTCCCAATTTTTTCGGATAGCATGGATTTTCCTGAAAATTTGCATACAAGCTCATCTGACCCCCCACTTCAAAAGTTATATTGTCTAGATGGGTACCTTTTTCTATTTGGGGGTAAAAACTACCCTTGTACGACAAAATCGCGAAAATCGCAGATTTACGTATTTTAAAGATCCAATTCATGTTCAAATATGTTGGATAAAGTTCCTTCTATGTTTTTTAATATAATTTATGAAATTTAATTACTTTTCAACCCTTAAAAACTATTTTTCCATGGCCAAAAAAATAGAAAAAAAAAGTTTTTAACAGTTTAAAATATTCTTTTGGTGCATTGAATTTTTTTTGTTATTCATTAGAAAGCTTACGACTCATTACAAAGTTGCAACCCTTAAAAACCATCCCTTATAATAAAATAAAATATTATTGAAAGCTTGAAATGTTATAATGGTATGCATATGTTGAATTATAAACTGTTTATTGGTTTTCAAATGATCTATGATATATTGCAACTTTTCAGCCACTCAAAAAATCCTTATGGAAGACCTACCTCTCTACCCCTCATAAAAAACCCTACCCCTTATAGAAAAATTTCCTAAAAATTACATGTAAGTACGATGATTTAATTAATTTTTTTTTAATTTTATTGAATTTATTCTTAATATTTTTTTATTAAATTTATATCAAATAAAAAAATTTTTATATACATTATAAATGGATACGTGTGTGTATGTATATTATTAAAATACTTCATCAAATCAGTTCACAAGTGCTCCGAAATACACCAAGATGATGGTAATTTACCCGCACCGAAAATTTTACCGAAAAAAAGCGATTAATTTTTTACCATAACTTCTGTAATTTTAAAGTTATAAATTTACTCAAAAACCCATTTTGTGGGGAATTTAAAGCACTTTAAGTTCTGTGATTTTCAGTTTTTTTGAGCCCTTCGTTTTTTAGATTTGTAAGCTAAAAGGGCTCAGGAAAGGCAGTCTTGGAGCTTAGTTTTGAGCTTCTAACGGTCATAACTCTACAAAAATTAAAAAAAGCAAATTGTTCAGTAAGAAAAAAACCTACAATTTCTTATTCTATCATTTTTTTATAACTTTGTTAGTTTTTGAAATATCTTGAAAAAAGGCGATTTTTTTAAAAATGTAAATGAAAATTTTTTTCAAATTTAAGCTTCTAAAATCGTTCAAATTCCCAGAATCTACTGTTAATACATAAATATAGTAAGTTGCAGAAGGAATACCTTTAATTTTTTTTTCCGTCATGTCATTAATTTTAATACCGATTTTTTTTCTCAAAAGTCAAGACAGTCATTTGATTTTGATTGTAACTTCATTAGTTTTCATGCTAACGACTTCTACCACCACTCAATTTAAAGGTCTTTTCGAGAACTTTTATAGGTGTTATATAAGTTTTCCTCGAAAAACCCTTAATTTTTCCGCTACAGGACGTTGAACATTTCGATTATAGCCATCTTCGAAATTGACTTCAACTTCTGGGAGTCATAACTCGGGTTCTATACCACCTACAAAAATAAAAAAAATAATCTCTTTGCTATTTAATTACCTTCATTTTTGCTTATGATCATTTTTTGATAAAACTAGATTTCGAGATAACAATTTAACTCAATGAATTCACTCCGAAGCTTTATTGCTTTCACTCACATCGATTTTTTTACAGTATTTGATGGGAAACACCTCCTAATCTCGCCAAAAATTACATCGTCGAATTTTATACAAGATTTAACACGAGTTTAAAGAATTTCTCGTTTTCTCTTATCACGAGACTTCAAAATTACAATACAATTATTTTGACACCCTGTAAATTATACATGAAATATCATTGCGACTTTACATGCAATATTCCAATTTATCAGGCACATAAATTTTATAAAAAGAAAAATAATCATTTAAATTATTAACATCGCAAGTCCATTACAAAACTAATGGCAATATGAATATTTTACCAAACTATGTACATAATAAGAATAAAATTAAAGCATTTCTCAGTATGTGAAATAGTTCAAAGTCGTAATGGCGGATAGTATTTTTAAGTCAAAGAAGAGCTTGATCACAGGTAAAAAGGCAATTTATCCACACAACTTTGTGCATCAGGTTGTTATGTCGTGGTCTGTGTCACTGACAGTTACAATGCACTTCCTTAGCCTTACCTACCCTTCCCATTCTCGGTCTAAGCTCTGTGGAGGCCGACCTGTTGTCAAAATTTGATACTAATTTGGATTTCTGTTGATTCTGAAGGCGCTACGAACTGAACCTTAATGGTCTTTGTATCCGATCGCTTTGAAACGTTTCGTCGTTCTCCACTGTGACCAGACATAACACCGGCCAAGACATAACAACCAAAGACTTAAAACCACTAAAACTTTATTTATTTATTTTGTAGACGATCCTCTACAATTTCTACTGAATCTAATGGGTTACGAATACGTCAAATACCATATATACATCAAAATAATTTGTTTGATTATAGTTCTGTACATAGAGATATTCAATATCGTCTGTTTCGTAGACGTCTTTGTTAACGATAACTGGGATTTACTAAAAAGATACTTACCCGTGATTATTTTGCAACAACCAGTAAGTTTTAAAACAAATACAATTTAACATTTATCTTAAGCGTTCCACACATGAATAACCTCACTGACGTGTGTTTTGCTCCTTTACCTCGAAAACCTGTCGTTTTCAGGGAGCAATGGGCCTTTCTCTGGGCATAGCGAGCATGAACGAATTCTTCACCTTCCGAGAGGTGGTTTTCCAGTACTGCTGGTCGATAAACTCAGCGGGTCCCGAAATCCAAAAGAAAATCCAGAAAGACTGCAAGACCATAAAGCAGCTCTGCTTTTTCGTCTTCATAGCCAACCTCCTGGTATACGCCACGTTCCTGCCCCTCGTAGGTGACGAGGGTGACATCATCTACGTGGTGATGCTGGCCAGGAGGTACTTCGGCGACTGGGCCAACCTCTCCTGCAGCGTGTACTATTTCTGCTTCTTGTGCTTCGCTTACGGCAACATCGTCGTATTGTTCATTTGCGCCTACATCATATTTCACCTGAGGTTTCAGTTTTATTTGATAATTGAACACATGCAAACCCTGTCGGACGATTACGATTTGGAAAACGGAATAAATTACGATGACAGTTACCAGAAAAGCGTACGCGAGAGGATGGTGTTGTGTGTCAACCAGCACGTGAATATCAAGCGGTAAGCGTGGTGGAGTGGGGTTATGCAGATGCCCAACAGATATTGCACTTTTTTACAAGTAGAAAGATTAAACACATTTCCTTTTTAGTGTGACCAGAATGTTTTCCCACATAACTAGATTGCCAATAGCTGGTGTTACAATAATTGCCTCCTCAGTCTTCGTAGCTACCGCATTTTTTATAGTATCAGTAAGTAACAAAGTATTTTTTATTAATGACCTATGCAAAAACCATTTTTTTAGGAGATCAGTCCTCACAGCAACTTCAGGATGTGCCTAAGTTCCATAAGCTGCTTCACCATTCTGATGAGCGTTTGCAGCTTTGGAGAAATGTTAGCGGAAGAGGTACTACTCTTACTTTTGACAGAACAAACTGCAAATCATTTATTTTTTAGTCTAATCACTTATATCGCATCTGTCTTGAAAGCCCCTGGCCGTTTTGGAACAGAGAAAACCAGCACTGCTTGATGATGTTGATGCTGGGATGCTCCCAACCGCTGAAGATAACTTTTTACAATTTATTGGACTTGAATTACTCTTTTCTATTAAAGGTAAGTGTTGAAGAAAAATCAAGACAATACAGTAATTTAATTAATCCCGGAAAATATAATTTTTTTGTTGTTTCAGATAATAAGCATCACGTACAAATTGCAAGCACTTTTCATGAAGTACAAATAGAAGCTGAAGCACGAAACTTTTCGGATGTCATTGATTGTTTACACATAATTGTTTCAGATGATGGCTTATCACAGCAACAATATATTTAGCACTAGTTCTTGGTTACATAGAATGTCCTTAGGGTTTGTCACCTTCGTAGTTACGCCTTAGTTTCTGGTGAAATACTGATTGTGCGTGATTGAACAGTAAAATTAATATTTGCAAATGATATTAAACGTATTCAGCAGCAATAAAAGTCGTAAGACTGACGTTAAGGCGATTATAAGGAGTCCTGCTCATGTTTATGCAACAGATCTATATAAAAACTAAATAAAATAAACTTGCAGGCGTACCTAAAACATGCCATAAATTAATTTCTACGCATTGTTCGCGTAAAACGGCTCTCCGGGGGTGATCGCTTTCTCAATTTTTCCACCCACAGGCGAGAGGAAAATAATAAATTATCGTTAGTCACCTCGGCCCACAGGCCATTAGGAGCTGTTAAAAAAATTAAATTTCGGTAAACAATTGAAAAATGATTTATCGCCCGGGCGAGCGTTAGTTACAGTCGGGTTTTTTTATGCTCTTCATTACGAACTATCGGTGTTAACACCCACAAGTGGGCTATGTAGGAAGTAGGACGGTGATCCTTGGAAGCGATGCCCTCTCGAGAGGGATCTGCGCTGCAGTTTTTATTAACTGACGTTTCTGTTCGTGAATCCATCATAAAAGTCAGTTCTCGGAATTGAACAAAAAGTCAGTGAAGGGCACAAGTACGAAAAGTTTATATGACTAAAAAAGCTCTAAAGAAGATTCCTAAATTTCCCAAAACTGAAGGATCGTCGATTGGTCAAATAATTTTCAATTGGTGAAGAGGATCAGACATTTTCTCCATTCTTGTCCGAATTTCGACTGCATTTGGCGAATCGAGAAAATACGACCAATCCGGTGGAAGTTGCGTGCTCCAAGAGACCCGCGATTGCGGGTATAACTCACGGTTTCTCATCTCGGGGTTAAACTCGCCCATAAATAAATCGAGGAAAGTTAAGCCGAGAGATCAAGACGAATCTGCCTGCGTGGCGAAATACTGTTAGGGGCCAACAGCGGGCCCAAAGTGTTGATTTACGGGCCTGGGTTACGCACACACGCGGTCACGTCAAACATTATTTTTATTTGGACAACGCCGCGGACGGCGATTTATATGCCGGCGGTTTTGTTTTGTCCGGCGACGGAAAAGTGATTTTTTTGTCACAATAACAACAAAAAGTTCTCTCTTTTGATTGGATATTTCCGTCGCATTTCAGGGCTTTTGTTTTACGTGAATAGCAAATACACGCAAAAAAATTTCTTGTTTCAAATGTACAACATTCGATTTCAAGGTAACGCACGTTTATACAGGGTGGGCCATTAATGCGCGAAAGTAAAATAAGTCCCTTGTTAACCATAATACAGAAGAAAAGTTTATATAAAAGTTATACAGAATCAAGAAACCTAAACTACAATATTAATTTGAAATATACAGGGCGATGAGTAAAAACGAGACACGCCAAAAATTACATTTTTTAAATGGAACACCCTGTATACTTTTAAGCATATGTATTTCCGAGAAAATTCTGTATATAGCAATATCAACAGTTTATCATTTTAGTACGGGGTTGCCAAGTTATGTAGAAAATTCTTTGAATTTTGGAAAAATCACCTCGAAGAAGTTGTATGAACTTTCAACTACTAACACTTGGAGCAAAAATATTTGACAGAGTCATAGGCAAATGTTATACAAAAGCTCCTATATTAACTAATATCGATATTTTATACAGGGTATTTTTTATATTACGATCATTTTTAGAAAGTTTAAACTTGATTTTCTAAAATTATTCAAATGGAACACCCTGTATTGTATTGTTCTATTTTATTCACATATCGGTCCACTTCAACTTTTATTAAGCATGTTCTATATCTAAAATTGTTAGTTTTTAAGATATAGCAACATTTCTGAAAAAATTTAATTTTTATTATTTTATAGAATACCACAAATAAATATTAAATAATAAAATTAACTTAAAATGGAATGATAAATTATGAACTGACAAATTGATACAATGTGACAGTTTTTTCCAAAGCCATTTCGTGCGACCGAAAATAATAAAAATTAGGTTTTTCCAGAAATGTTGCTATATTTTAAGAACTAACAACTTTAGGTGTTGAACATACTTAATAAAAGTTGAAGTGGACTGTATGTGAATAAAATAGGACAATAAAATACAGGGTGTTCCATTTGAAAAATTTTAGAAAATCAAGTCAACTTTCTAAAAATGATCGAATTATAAAAAATGCCCTGTATAAAATATCGATATTAGCTAATATAGGAGTCTTTGCCTAAAATTTGTCGATAACTCTGTCAAATACTTTTGCTCCAAGTGTTAGTAGTTAAAAGTTAATACAACTTCTTCGAGGTCATGATTTTCCAAAATTCTAAAAATTTTCTACGTAACTTGGCAACTCCGTATTGAAATGTTAAACTGTTTATATTGTCGTATATACAATTTTCTTAGAAATCCATATGTTTAAGAATATACAGAGTGTTCCATTTAAAAAGTGTAATATTTGACTTGTCCCGTTTTTACTAATCACCCTGTATATTTCAAATTAATTTTGTCCTTATATATTTTTTTCTGTATTATGAACAACAAAAATATTTTCTTCCTTCAAGAAAATTATTTATTTATTTACATACTTTAAATTTCTACCCAGAAATATAATTGCTTACTTTAAAAATTGGTAAAATTTAAAATAAATATTTCATACTAACGGTTCAACGAATTCTATTCTTAATTTTATGATCTACTTAGATTTTATAGAAACATGTAACGTATATTACTGTATCGTTTGTTTGTTTGTTTAATACAAAATTGAATAGTTTTGGTCAAATGATTGTATATGTATAGTTTATTGGTGGTCCTCATCATTGTGTCTTCAGAAATATCCAGCTGCTTTAGTGTCCTTATTCACAAGGAGATATGTATACACAGAGCGTAAATGGTTCCATCTATCGTGCTACTTCCCACCTAGGCCATTTTGTAACCTGCTACAATTTTCTTTCAAGAAAACATAAGTTTGATTATAATATGAAAATTATAGATTACTGCAAATATTTCACATAGTTTGACGAAAGTATATTCATTTGAATAGAATAAAATAACATTTACGGCAAATAATTCCATTTAAAACTATCTGATCATTTCATCCAAATACTTTTTTTTCAGTGTAGATTCATCACACGATAGAGTAGATTGGAACAATTTGTGTATATTCCTTAATACATTTTTTCTACACCAGATTTGTATAAGAGCTCCAAATTTCATACTCGTTTGAACCAAGACGCGATTCTTTTTGTTTTTCGACGTCGTCTCCAAAGAATTAACAACATCCCGTCTTTTCCAGAATGTAAACGTCGCGTAGAGAGAAACTATCGGCGCGATTATAAAATATGCGCCGATTCAGAACGAAATTTACCGCGATAGTTCCGAGGTCGGCTCGTCTCGAATAATAATTCAAACGGAGAGGAAAAAAGGCCGGGATCGTGCCGGTGATTGAAAGTTAGTGGAGCTCCACCATCAGCGGACTCTGCTGCGTGCAGTCATCCCGCATTTTTGTTCGGTTCCTTTGATTCGAAGAAACAGAAAACCCAACTAAATTAGAACTTTATTTACATTCGCGTTCTCGTCCATCCCCGACGGCTATTTACATAAATAGGTTAGACTGTGTTTTTTTTCCTCGGCGGGTACGTGGGACAGATTTCCTACAATTGTTCTCGACTACCAAGCCGGGCTTAAATGAAAGAAAACTGCTTGTATTTTATTATACAAAGGGTCTTGAAATTAACATTCAACAATTCATCCTCATCCTGCGACCAAAAATGACAGTTTGCATAAAGATGAGGGCTCCTTAAATGTGAGCCCTCGAATATTGTTTCTTCGGATTCAGTTTGCACCATTGCCCTTTCCAGTTTGCAAGTTGACAGTTTGCGGCCACATAATTTGCAGTTTGCAATGACAAAATTTGCAGTTTGCAGAATCGCAGTTTGCAACATCATTTGCAGTTTGCGCTATATCTTCCTCAGTTTGCAAGTTCATAGTTTGCGATCATCTTGGCAAATGCAGCAGTTTAATTTCAAAACACTGCACTTGCTAAACTAGACACCTCACGACCGCTTTTGTCATTTTAGCCCCGCGCGTCTCCGCATGAATCAGCCCGTAACACAAAACAATCGGAACGATTGTTCCCCAGTTCGTGACACGGTCAATAACAGATAGCAATATCGTTCCTTCTTAAGGCCATGGAAGCGCCGTGTCTTAGATTAAACGCAGTCTCTTATCTAAGCGCGCTGTGAATCACTATGTGTGGCGAATTACATCTAGATCGAACATGTGTTCCTGTCGAAATATCTCCCCGGAGATTATTAAATTTGGCCACGACCGTTCCAGTTTGGTCCGCCGCCTCGCGAAGCCTATTTCTCATGGCACCGATGACGGCAGATAAGGCCCGATAATCGGCGTACGGTAATGCTTATGTAAACAAGGAGATGTTATAACGAATTATATTAATGATGCCGAGATTTTATCGGGAGGGGAACATAAAGTCCACTTATGGATCGTCGCGGGCGACGTGCGTTTAGTTTTGGGGTTAGCGAGAGGCTACAATGGCATGCAACGAGACGTAGCAGATCTAATTCATTTAAAATTCATAAATAAATTTATAAAGAATCTATTCTTGCAAGTATTTCGTCTGCAAACAGCTATTAAGACGTTTTTTAAGCGGAATTAAAATCATTAATAAAGATTAGGAATCTAAGCGGGCCACGATTTGAACCTTGAAGAACACCAAAAATACAAATTGAACTCTAAGTTTGGAATGTCATTTTGGGCAAGCTAGTAATAGTTTACTTATCAAAATGGAAGTATGGGTTAAGGATGGAAACTGATGCACTCCTGGTTGCCTATATTATACCGAAAAGTAGTAGA